TAGCATATAGAAATACAATTATTTGTATATTGATCCTGTATCCTGCAATACTGCTAAACTCATGTATTAGGTCAAATCATGTTTTTGTAGATTCCATCAGATTTTCTGCATAGTGAACCATGTTGTCTGCAAATAGGGACCGTTTTTCTTCTTCCTCTTCCTGCCTTACTGCACTTGCTAGCGCCTCCAGTACAATGTTGAGTAGAAGTAGTGAAAAGGGGCATTATTCTCTTGTTCCTGATTTTGGAGGGAAAGCACTCAGTCTTTCTCCATTAGGTATGGTGTTAGCTGTAGATTTTCGTAGTTGTCCTGTATCAGGTTGAAGAAATCCCCTTCTATTCCTGCTCTGTTGAAAGTTTTTTAAAATCAGAAATAAATGTTGCATATCGTCAAATGTTTTTTCTACATATATTGAGATTATTTTTTTGATGATTAACAGGGTGAACTACTTTGATAGAGTTTCAAATGTTAAACCAACCATGACATTCCTGGGATAAACTCTACTTGGTCATCATGTACAATCCTTTTCATATGTTGTTGGATTAGATTTGTTAAATTTTGCTTAGAATTTTTTGCGTCTATGTTCATGGGGGATATTGGTCTGTAGTTTTCTTCTTCAATGTCTCCGTCAGGTTTTGGTGCCAGAGTAATGCTTGCTTCATAGAAAGCAGTATTTTTTCCTTTTAAATTTTCTGTAAGAGTTTATGTAAAATTGGTATTTATTTCTTCCTTAAATCTTTGATAGGATTCAGCAGTGAAGCCATCTGGACCTGGAATTTTCTCTGTGGGAAGTTTTTAACTACGAATTCAATTTTTTAAAAAACAGATATAGGACTATTGAGCTTATCTATTTCTTCTTGAATAAGCTTTAGCAGTTTGCGTTTTTTAAGAAATTTGTCCATTCTACATAAGTTATCAAATTTCTTGCCATACAGCTGTTCATAATATTCCCTTATCTTTTTTTTAAAAAAGATTTTATTTTTCCTTTTTCTCCCAAAGCCCCCCTGGTACATAGTTGTGTATTTTTAGTTGTGGGTCCTTCCAGTTGTGGCATGTGGGATGCCTCCTCAGCATGGTCTGATGAGTGGTGCCATGTCTGTACCCAGGATTTGAACCAGCGAAACCCTGGGCTGCTGAAGCGGAGCGCGAGAACTTAACCACTCGGCCACCGGGCTAGCTCCCTATTATTCTTTTTAATATCTGTGGAATGTGTAGTGAAGTCACTGCTCTCCTTCCTGATATTGTTATTTTGTGTTTCTCTTTTTTTTTTCCTCTAATCAGCCTGATTAGAGATTTATTAATTTTTAATAAAACCAGCTTTTGGTTTCATTGATTTTATCTCTTCTCTTTCTGTCTTCTGTCTCATTGATTTCTGCTCTGATCATTATTATTTTCTTCTACTTACTTTGACTTTAATTTACTTTTTATACTTTCTCAAAACTGAGGTAGAAGCTGAGATCATTGATTTAAGACCTTTCTTATTTTCTTTTTTATTGAGGTGACATTGGTTTATAACATCATATAAATTTCATATATACATAGCTATATTTTGACTTCTGTGTAGAGTACTCCATGATCACCACCGAAAGTCCAGTTGCCATCCATCGCCATACAAATGCCGCCTTTTGCCCTCCCTCCATTCCTCTTCCCCTTTGGTAACCACCAATTTGTTCTCTGTATCTATATGTGTGTGTGTTTGTTTATCTTCCACATATGAGTGAAATCATATGGTATTTGGCTTTCTCCATCTGACTTATTTAGCTTAGCATAATACCCTCAAGGTCCATCCATGGCTGAATAGTATGCTGTTGTATATATAGAGAAAGGCTGGGCATATATAGAAAGGCTGGGCTGGTGTGTGTGTATATGTATATATATATATATATATATATATATATATACACACATACATACCGTATCTTCTTTATCCATTCATCTGTTGATGGGCACTTAGGTTGTTTCTAAGTCTTGGCTATTGTGAATAATGCCACAATGAACATAAGAGTACACATCTCTTTCTGAATTAGTGTTTTTGTTTTCTTTGGATAAATACCCAGAAGTAGAATAGCTGGATTATATGGTAATTCTATTTTTAATTGTTTGAGGAATCTCTATACTGTTTTCCATAGTGGCTGAACCACTTTACGTTCCCACCAGCAGTGTACAAATTTTCCCTTTTCTCCACATCCTCTCCAGTACTTGTTGTTTCTTATCTTTTAATAATAGCCATTTTGACAGGCGTGAGGTGATATCTCATTGTGGTTAATTTCCCTAAGAATTAGTGACGTTGAACATATTTTCATATACCTATTGGCCACCTGTATATCTTCTTTGGAAAAATGTCTGTTCAGACCCTCTGCCCATTTTTTTATTGGGTGGTTTGTTTTTTATTGTTGAGTTGTATGAGTTCTTTATATATTTTGGATATCAACCCCTTATCAGACATATGATTTGCAAATATCTTCTCCCAATTGGTAGGTTGTCTTATCACTTTGTTGATGGTTTCCTTTGCTGTGTAGAAGATTTTCAGTTTGATGTAGTCTCATTTGTTTATTTTTTTCTTTTGTTTCCCTTGCCTGGGGAGACATATTCAAAGAGATACTGCTAAGACCAATGTCAAAGAATGTACTGACTATGTTTCCTTCTAGGAGTTTTATGGTTTCAGGTCTTGCATTCAAGTCTTTAATCCATTTCAAGTTAAATTTTGTGTATGGTGTAAGATAATGGTCTACTTTCATTCTTTTGCATGTGGCTGTCCAGTTTCCCAACACCATTTATTGAAGAGACTTTCCTTTCTCTACTGCAAGTTCTTGGTTCCTTTATCAAAAATTAGCTGTCCATAATCTTATTTTCTAATACAGGCATATAGTGCTATAAAATATCCCCTAAGTGCTACTTTAATGGCATCACACAAATTGTGGTATGTTGTGTTTTCATTTTTAGTCAGTTAAAAATATTTTCTGATTTCCCTTTGATATCTTCTTTGATCTATGAGTTATTTATAAATGCGCTACTTTGTTTCGATATTTGGGGATTCTCCAGAAATCTTTCTGTTATTGATTTCTAAGTGTGTTTCTGCCTTCATGCACCCCACCTCAGTGAATGAGCCACCCTCCACCTAGATGCTCATTCCAGGCTCCTTCTCCTATTGCCCCAAACCCCAAAAGCACACCCTAACCACCCCTCTGTTGCCTTACTTCACCCTATTTCTTTCAACAGCCTCTCAGCTGCTCTGTCTGCCTCCACTCTTGCCCCATTTTTTTTTAAGATTTTATTTTTTTCCTTTTTCTCCCCAAAGCCCCCCAGTACATAGTTGTATATTCTTCGTTGTGGGTCCTTCTAGTTGTGGCATGTGGGACGCTGCCTCAGCATGGTTTGATGAGCAGTGCCATGTCCACACCCAGGATTCGAACCAACGAAACACTGGGCCGCCTGCAGCGGAGCGTGCGAACTTAACCACTCGGCCATGGGACCAGCCCCATCTTGCCCCATTTTTGATCCATGGTCCCTATGGCAGCAAGAAAGATTTTCATAAAATGCAAATCAGATCATCACACACACACACACACACAAACACCCACACACCCTTAAGACCCTTTCAGATCTCTCCATTACCTTCCAGAGAAACTTCCACATAGCAGGTGGCGGATGAGGCCCTTTCCTTTTCTGGCCCTGGGAACTCATGTAGCTCAAGACCAAACTTGCTGTTTCCAAAATGGGTTTTGCCTGTCCCTGTGCCTACCTGGATGTTGTCCATTTTGCCAGGGCTGAAGTCCCTCCTTTTTCCACCCAGTTAATGCCCACATCCTTTAAGACACAGGCTCAATGATTGCCTTTTCCAGAAAGTCTCCACTGATTCCCATTCTGGCATAGATCTTGTTACATCTTAAGGACACTGGGCCACCTCCTTCACAGCATTTATCACATTGCACTGTAAGTTTTCTTTTCCTTTTTAAAATTTTTTTAAAAAATATTTTATTCATTTGTTTTTTGTAATTTGTCTAGCTTCCTCACTAGAATGTTTACCTGTGTATCTCCACTACCAAGCTCACTAGACGCTCAATGGATGTTTGCTGAGTGAATGTTGAATGAATAGAATGTACCAGAGGAACTCACAGGAGGCAGAAAGACAAGTTAGGCCACTATTACAGCGACCGAGGAGGGAGGTGCTAGGGCCAAAACCAAGGCTGGGGCGGCAGGGGTGAGGACCCAGTGGGATTTATAAAGACACTGCCTTGAACTCTGCAACACAGGCTTAAACCACAGGAACAAGCCTGTGTGGTCGGGGCCCTATTTTTGAGTGGGTGATGGCTGCTCTGGAAGCTTCTCTGTGAGTCGGGACGAGGTGAGGTTTGGTTGATGGGGACAGGAAACTATCAATGTAGCCATCCACTGGCCAGCACACTGCCTCTCCCACCCGACCTGTGACCCTCCAGGCCCTGGGGTGCAGCGAGAGGTTTGTGGATCAAGGACTAAACTCTGGAGTCACACAGAGTTGGGAGGATAGTGAGGAATAAAGTGGAGGAATATTTTGAATGAACCTTGAAAACGTTACGCTACGTGATATAAGCCAGACACAAAAGGACAAATGCTGTATGATTCCACTCATCTGAGGTACCTAGAATAGTCAAATTCACAAAGACAGAAAGTAGAGTAGTGGGTAACTGGGGCTGGGGGAGGCGGTCGGGGAGTTAATGTTTGATGGGTACAGAGTTTTTCTCTGTAAGATCCTCCATACAGAGTACAGAGTTTTTCATATTACAGAATGTGAAAAAGTCTGGAGATGAGTGGTGGTAATGGTTGCCCGACCATGTCAATGTACTTAATGCCATTGAATTGTACATTCAGAAAGGGTTAAAATGGTAAAATTTATGTTATGTATATTTTACCACAATAAAAAAAAGAATTGCTAACAAGAAACAAAAAAGAATATTTGGGGTGGAGGGAGGAAGTGAGAAGGCTGGAGGGAGGCCATCAGCAGCCTCTCTGTTCTCTGACAGGACTGGACAAGAGCCCTGTTCCAGTCACCTCAGAAGGAGGCCATGTCAGGCTTCCAATGGGTTGTCCCCCATTGGAAACACATCAGCCAGAGGACTGCACCCGTTCCCCTCGTGCGTGACTGTTCCCCTTCCGTCTCCCCTACAGTGGAGCTCGCCATTGTGGTGAGAAGAGGAGAGAGCTTTGCTCTGGAGTTCTCTGACTTGGGAGCTGGTAAGAAGGCGATGGGATGGGAGGGACCTTAGCAATGGGACCCAGTCTATCCCAGCCTCAGGCCCTCTGTGATGAACATACCCTCAGCAGGGTCTGCTTGGGCTCTAGGCATCTCCACCCTGGCTGGAGCCCGTGTCTAGATAGAGTTCAGGTCTAACCTAGGTTGCAGCCGGAGGTCTGCCAGCTGGGTCCTCACCTATACAACCACGGCTTATTGTTAAGGCACCTTGGCCCTGGGCAGAGAAGACAGTAAGCCTTGGCTACATCAACCTTCCTCCGCTCCACTCACTGCTAGCTGAACCCTGTGAGCTGGGACAAGTGTGGATCAGACCCAGGGAGCAAAGCAGGGAAATTCCATTTCTAAGGGCTTGGAAGGAAAGAAAGGGAGGCGGTGGGCGGGGGCGGGGGGGGGGGGGTGCAGTCAGGGATGATTCTAGGCCCCTGAGGAGCCATACTAGATTTATTTATTTATTTTTAAAGATTGGCACCTAACAACTGTTGCCAATCTTCTTTTTTTTTTTTTTTAAGGATTGGCACCTGGGCTAACAACTGTTGCCAATCTTTTTTTTTCTGCTTTATCTCCCCAAACCCCCCCTGTACACAGTTGTATATCTTAGTTGCAGGTCCTTCTAGTTGTGGGACGTGGGACGCCGCCTCAACGTGACCTGACGAGTGGTGCCATGTCCACGCCCAGGATCCGAACCCTGGGCCGCCGCAGTGGAGCACGCGAACTTAACCACTCGGCCACGGAGCTGGCCCCCATACTAGATTTATGATTTCAGAGAAATACATATCCCATAAAGGAGCCCAGAACTGACTCTGTCATTATTCCAGATACAGGAGCTTTCTAATCCCATGAGACTAACGCCGATAGGAGCACCCTTTTTGCCACCTTAACACACAGCTGTCGCTGGAACAGCAGAGCTGGAAGCTATGTGAGGAATATCCTGGGCAATAATGCCCTCACTCCCCAGTGATGTGGTCACCTATAGCTAGTTAGGTCAGAGCAGGGACCAGACCCCATGTCCCTTGACTTCCAGCCCATTGCCTGTCCATATGCCATTACGACTCTTAGCTTCGCCGTTTACATCTAGTGTGGAGGAGTTGTTCTAGGAATAGCTCTGCCATTTTGTCATGTAGCTCCATGATTTTTTTTTTCTGCAGCAGATGCTCTGGTAAAACAAATATAAAATGAATGGCAAGTTGTTCTCCTTCTTGGTGGGCATCTTCTCTATCCTCAACACCATCCAGTTCCTCATCTTCGACTTGAACCAGAGTGCATTGGTTGGCTATGAAGATAAGTTCAGTGTCTACATGGACACAAACTCTGACTTAGTCGCTTGGGTCATCTTCAACAGGAAGGACATCAGCATCACCCTGTCCACCATCACCATCGTGGTCAGCTTGTTGCTCCTCTATTGCGTTCACATAAACAACTACGTGGGGCTGCTGTGCTATGCCTTGTGGATGGTCACCTGCGAGCTCATCAACTTCTCCATTGTCCTGCTCATCAACGGGACCGTCAAAGAGGCATTCAAGGAGCTTAGTTACCTGGAGTTGGTCCTCCAAATCTCCCGCATGCTCTTGTACTTCTGCTGTCTGCCCTTCATCACCAAGTACATGTACACACTTTACAAGGACCCCAAGATGTTTGGCAAGATAGGTCGCCGCAGGCAGTCCTCCATCTGTACAGTCGATTCGTGGGCGCCTGTTGGGCTGGGAACGTTGTACCGCAAGATAAACTGAACTGTCTCAGGAAGAAGAGAGAGAGAGGGACCATGCTCCCCAACCATCGCTCCCTCTTTTCCTACTTGCCTTCTGTTGATTCCACTTGCCTTTTCAGGGTCCTCGAGTTTTATGCACTTAAGAGTGATTCTTGGGGGAGGGAGAGTTGCACGGATCAATTATTGTGCATGAGTGTGTTTGTGACTTGTTTTAGCATTTAATTATATACCACCTTTGTGCTTGTGTAACCGTCTCATTGGTGTTTGCTCTTGTCTGTCATGGTCCCCTCCTCTCTGCATGTCCTTCGTTTCTAATTTTTTCTTGTGGGTTGCCCCACAGACGCATGGTTCTGCTAAGTCATTTTGGAATAGCGCTGTCAGATAGAACTTTCTGTGCTGATGGAAATGTTCTATATCTATGCTTTCCACTCGCCATATGTAGTATTGAGCACTTGGAACATGGCTATTCCAACCCAGGAGTGAAATTTTAAATTTTATTCCATTTTAATTACAGGCACACCTCAGAGAGATGGCGGGTTCAGTTCCAGACCACTGCAATAAAGCAAATATCGCAATAAAGCAAGTCACTGAGTTTTTTGGTTTCCCAGTGCATATAGAAGTTACGTTTACACGATATTATATTAAGTGTGCAATAGCCTTATGTCTAAAAAAAGCAAAGTGCACACCTTAATTAAAAAATACTTTATTGCTAAAAAATGCTAACCATCACCTGAGCCTTCAGTGAGGCGTAATCTTTTTGCTGGTAGAGGATCTCATAAAAAATGCATATCTGTGAAGCACAATAAAACAAAGCACAATAAAATGAGATGTGCCTATAATTTCAATTTCAACAGCCACATGCGGCTGGCTCGTGGTCTCCATGTTGCAGAGCACAGTGACGTGGAGCCTCATTCTACTCCTGCATGGAACCATAGAAAGAACCCCTGTCCAGCTTCACGCATCCTCTGCTTCCCTCATACTTTCCAAAAAGCAGTTTCTCATGTTGGTTCATAGCATGGCAAGAAGAATCCCCGTTGAAGAAAGCTCCAGGATTTCTCAATTTAAGCGCTGTGGACATTTTGGACTGGATAATTCTGTCTTGTAGGGGGCTGTCCTGTGCGTCATGGAGGTTTAGCAGCATACATGGCCTCTACCCACTAGATGCCAGTAGCATCCTCCCACCCTTGTAACAACTGAAAATGTCTGCAGACGTTGCCAAATGTTCCCTGGGGGGTAAAATTGCCCCCAGCTGAGAACCACTATTTTGAAGCAACACACCCTGCGCTGACAGTTGGTATGCCACTACTGTTAACTAGCGGAGAGCATCTTTTATCGAGAGCTCCTTACATTAATGCACCACCTCGTGTAGTTTTCATTTTAACACTCCCATTTTATGTTTTGGTGGAACGGAGGCTCAGGGCGCTTAAGTGATGTGATCAAGGTCACCTAGTAGCAAAATCAGGATTTGAATCTAGATCATCTGATTTCATACACGAATGTCCTACCTAATTCCCTGAAGCACTCTTACTTTTACCAAGATAAAAAAAAAATAATAAATTAAAAAAAAAAAGAGGGACCTCTTTTTAGGATATTTTCTTTCTCTTCAAAAAATGTTGGGAGGGAAGTCAAAAGGACCCTGTTTGTTTTGGCCACACCCTCCAAACCATGAGCGTAACGACAGTAGCCTACTTTTACTGAATATTGAATAAGTGCCAAGTACTATTCTAACAATTCACTCAATTCTTCCCACCGTCCTGAGGGATAAATTTGGATCCAGGTCAGTTCCCAAAATGACCACCAGATGGCAGTCCGCAATAAGCTTTTGCTTAGCGCTGTCTGCCTTCGTAAGTCAGATCCTCCAGGGTTGGCTGAGTTGGGATGTATTGGGTCTCAAACTGATGACTGGGGACTTACAGTGTGTGTCCCTGCTCTAGTCTCACAAGGCGTGCCTTGCCTGGTTGTGACTCGCTGGTACCAAAAACAAAAAATAAAACGTAGGCAGACTTCAGGGTTCTGATCCCCCATCCCGGCTGGCTTGGTGGTGGGGAGGTGGGGAGACTGGAGACCAGTGTGTGGAAGAGGTGGAGGGAGAAGCAGAGTTCCAAGAATCAGCTCAACCAAGAGTTACCTGATGCTTAAGATGCTCAGACACAAGAGTGCGCGCCCCTCTACACCGACTCACTCACCAAAGCCGTTGTTTGCATCCGCTTCTGCTTCCTGGCCCCCCTTTCTCTCTAGAAGCCCCTGCACTGCACTGAGACTGCACTTGTTAGGGTGATGTCCACGCTGCCCAATCCCGCACTCAGACTTCTCTTGCCAGACCTCTCCATGGGATTCAACCAGCTGATCCCTTCCTGTCCTGTAAGCAGGTCTCTGTCCTGACCTATGGGACACCAGGGCCGCCACTCTCCATGCACCACCTGGCTCGCTGGCCCTCCTCCTCCGTCTCCTTTGCTGGCTCCTCCTCATCGCCCTGACCTCCAAACATTGGAGTGCTCCAGGACTCAGTCCTTGCTCCACTTCTCGTCTCTGTCTCGGTCACTCCCAGCTCCCCTTGGCCAGGCCCTTCGTGGGTAACCCCGTATTGACGTCTCCAATCTGTATGTCTCCCCGGAAATCTGCTCTTGTTGATCCAATTGCTTCCTCGCTGTTGCAGGCGCCTCTAACACGGTTCCCAATGTTCCCAGCCAACTGGTATTCACACCCATCACCTCTCCTTGGACGGTCCGCTAGTCTGGGCTTAGTGACCCTCTTCTAACACACAGAACATGGCAAAGGGATGGGATGTCACCTCAAAGATTAGCTTACAAAGAGACAGTGCCTCCAGTGTTGCTCGCTCTCTCTCAGGGCAGCCAGCTGCCAGTTTGGGAGCATCTTGGGGGAGAGGACCGCATGGCCCGGAAATGGCTTCTCTGGCCAACAAGGACCTGAATCCCACCGAAAGCCACGAGTGAACCTGGAAGCACATCGTCCCTTAGTCAAGTCTGGCGGTGACCACAGCCCGGGCTGAAGACCCTGCCTGCAGATGACAGACCCTGAGTTGGAAGTGAGGCCTGAGTTGCTGACCCACAGAAACTGTGACATAATAAATGTGTGTTCTCCTAAGCCACCAAGTTTTGGAGTAATTTGCCACACAGCAATCAATAACTAGCGCCCGTAACATCTCCACATTAGTGCCCAGTGGCCGTCTCAAAACAGGTCCCAATCCACACTCGTGATTTTTTCCCAAAAACCTGCCCTAAGTCCCAGTCTTTCCCGCTTCCGGCCTTCCAGTTGCTCAGGTCAAAGACCCAGGAGTCATCCTTGGGTTCCCTCTTTCTCCCAGCCTTTATCCAACCCCTCGACAAACCCTGTCAGCCCACCTTCAGTGTAGACCCAGACGCCACCACAGCTCACCGCCTCCACTGCCACCACCCTGACCCAAGATGTCACCGTCTTTTGACCAGGCTTTTGCTATAGCAGCGTCCCAATTGGTCTCCCTGACGCCACCCTTGTTCCCCCTACAGTCAGTTCTCCACCCGGCAGCCAGAGGGACCCTACTGAAACCTAAGTCAGATCATGTCCCTTCTCCACTCAGCTGTTCATATCCTGCCAGTGTTCCCTACCACACTCAGAGTAAAACTCCCGAGTCTTTACCCTGTCGTGCTGGGGCTAAGTGATCCAGCTCCCTGTCATCCCTCTGATCTCCTTTCTAGCCCCTTTGTCCTCTCTCTCTGCTCCAGGCCCATCAGCCTCCTTGCAGTTCCTCTTACACACCCCAGCCTCAGGGCCTTTGCATTTGCCATTCCTTCAGCCTGGAATGTTCTTACTCCAGATATCCACTGGCTTCCTGTTTTGTTTCCTTCAGATGTCTGCTCAAAAGTCATAAGAGAGGCCTTCCCTACCAAACTATGTGAAACAACCCCTCCCCACCCAATCCCTCCCTAACCCACTTACCCTGCTTTATTTTTTTCATAACACTTATCACCTGACTTACTATATATAGTAACCACCCCACCCCCCAAATATGAGCACCATATATCCTTCATTGCTGTTTCCCCAGCACCCAGAACAACACCCAGCACACAGCAGGTGCTCAATACACATTTGTGGAACGAAGGGACACGAACCCTCAGCAGAACAGAATGGCCTGTTGTTCCTCATTTTCCAAATGGTGGTTGCGGTTGGATGGGCTGGTGAGGGGCGAGTTCTTGTGGCTCTTCCAGCGTCCTCTTCCACTGCTCTCTCCGCTCGCTCACTTCTGGAGTCAGAGGACGCGATTTCAGCTTCCTTGTCCCTCTCCTCCTGCCCTCGTCCTTTCCGTGGCACCAGCCGCTGACACTAGAAACACCGCATAATCTTCCAGCTCCTTGTCACCAAGACTTCTGAAGCGCACAGGTGTCGCGAGAGCTGCCGCCCACCCCTGTGAAGATCTCTGGCCTTGCGTCCTCCCTTTCTTCACGTGTTTGCTGAGTGTCTGCTGGGTAGCAGGCCCTGAGCTGGGAACTGGAGAATATCCTGGAAGGCATGACACAGCCCACAGCCCGAGGGCTCCCAGCCTAGTGAGGGGCACAACTGCGCAGGGCCATTTGGGCCCAGGATAGTAGGTGCTGGGGGAAGCACTGTGGGCCACAGGAGGAATCCCAACTCTTGGAGAGTGGAGAATCAGGGAAGTCTTCCTGGAGGAGGAGACCTTTAAGCTGAGTCCTGGAGGAGAGTCTGATTTAGCTCTGAGGAGGTAGGGGAGGAAACAGAAAGGTGGGAGGCCGAGAAGGTGCAGATACCCCAGAGATAGGAAGCTGTAAGCTCTTATCCATTGTTTCCCCCTCAGGGGGAAGTAAGGGGCTCTGTGCAGGGGACAAAGGCGACAAGAGGAAGCAAGCAGGCACGAACTTCCCCAGAGAGAAGAGGGTCCCCCCTGTTCCCACGGCCTTGGCTGGCTGCTCCCAGAAGGTGCTTGCTCTTAGGTAAACAGCCATTCTGTATTTCTGAGCATCTTTCCCACCTCACTTCTGCCCATGTGACTTCAAGTTTCCCCTAGCAGCTGTGTCCCACGGAGGACAGACTTCATTCTGGGTTGACTTCTCCCCACCACTTTCAAGATGTGTGAATATTTCCACCTGCTCTACTTCTTTTTTCCTCATGGCCTTGGGTCTCCTTTCCCCCTGCTTCCTTTCCCCCAGAACTGCCCACATCCATTGCTACTGTTCTCGGCCTTCAAGGCCCTCTTTTTCCCTTTCTTCAGTCTCTTCTGACTATCAGTCTCTATCTATGGATTGATGCTTTTCTTTTCTTTTTTTCCAATCAATTTGCTCACCCAACAAGTGGTTAACGAAGGCCCCTGAGAGCTGGCGCCTGGGTGAGGCTGCCGTGGTGACGGAGGCTGAGCTCCTGACTCTGGAGACGGCCTTTCATGTGGGCAGGCTCCTCAGTGAACCCTCCTCAGCTTCCTTCCTCTTCCTCTTCATCCTCTCACCAGTTGTCAGTAAAATAGAAGCTTGGTTAAACGCTTAAGTTTTTTTTTATCATAAGTGAGTTATGATTCTCTTCCCCGGGAGATAGGTTTTACAAATGCCTTCTGACTGTATTCATTTTGTTTCATAAACAAGGGCTTTATGGGTGTGTGTTTGTGTATGTGAATGCTGTGTATATTTGCATGTGTATTTGGGTCTCTGTGTTTGTGCGTGTTTGCGTATATGTAACAGGCTGAGTTAAACAATTATATGGTGATTGTCAGGAATAACTTACATGTTAAAGATAGAAAAAGGTCAAAATGTTTTTAGGCTTTGTGTTTTTCTAAAATCTTCCGCCTCCTACCAAGGCTGGCTTTTCCCTTCAGAAATATAGCCCACAAGGGGCAACACTGGAATGCATCTTTTTTAAAAGGGAATCTTTGGGGGCCGGCCCCGTGGTGCAGCGGTTAAGTTCGCATGTTCTGCTTCTCGGCTGCCCGGGGTTCACCGGTTCTGATCCTGGGTGCGGACATGGCACTGCTTGGCAAAGCCATGCTGTGGTAGGCGTCCCACATATAAAATAGAGGAACATGGGCATGGATGTTAGCTCAGGGCCAGTCTTCCTCAGCAAAAAGAGGAGGATTGGCAGCAGTTAGCTCAGGGCTAAACTTCCTCAAAAATAAATAAATAAATAAAAGGAATCTTTGGTTTTTCTCTCACCCCAACAGTGTGGCACTGACAAGATGTATTTGATGAACGATGTGGAGGATGGACCTTAAAGCCATCTGCTTCTCCAACAAGTTTTAGTGGACAAAAAGACCCTTTCAGAGGGAAGGGGAGAAAGTAGTCATAAAAAGTGCTGAGCAACTGGAAATCCTATAATTCCACAAGTAGACCGTTGGCGCCCCCTTTTCGAGGATTCTCAGATCCAATCTTCCTCTGGCCCAGAGAGCCTCCTGCGGCCACCCTGACCCCAGCCTGACCCCGCCTGCCCCACCCCCTCCTATTCGAGGATCTCCGGCATTTTCTGGCCTGACTGAGATGATTTTATTTCGCATTTGATCACCTTTGCACAATAGGCTCCCTCCTCCCCACCTTCTGACATCCTGGACACACCTCTGCTTCCTAAATGTGTGCGTCCACACCTTCTTTCTCTCCTTTGTCCATTCATCAAAACGCACGGCTTGTCAACAACTGGCTGGGCATTGTGCTAAGAAGTGAAGCAAAAATAAAAAACAAGATGTGGTCTTGGCCGTGAACCAAGAAGAGGGCCTGTGAGGGAGTAATTGCAAGACGATATGATAAATTAGGTAACAGAACTAAGTCCAAAGGGCGACCTTATCCCCAGTTCGCCATGGTTCATTGAGCAAATGTTTACTGAGCACTTGCTGCTCATCTGGCTCTGTTCTAGATGTTGCAGCTCTGGGGTGAAGAAAACAGATGCAGTTCCTGCTCTCGCGAAACTTACACTCTAAGGAGGGGAGATAAGTGACAGGCCAGTGAACACCAATGTGTAGACAGTATAAGAATTGCAGCTAGTGAGAGGAGTAAGATGAAAACACAGCAAGGTGACATTATAGTTTGATCCCAGATAGTGAGACTTGGCCATTCCTAGTAATTCCGTCCTCTTGAGATTGATTGTTTCAGGAACAGACCCAAGACCCGCTGGAGAAGGGCATCTAGGAGGTCTCTGGATAAGGAACGTCTCTCTGGGGAGGTGATAATTAACAGGATGGAGAAGATCTGAGGGAAGGGCTTTCCAAGCAGAGGGAACAGCAAATGCAAAATTCCAAGCAGGGGGAACAAGCTGAGTGTTCCAGTCAGACAGCCAGTGGCTGGAACGCGGTGGGCGAGGGCGCGGGGATGCAGTGAACCGAGCGCTTCAGCCTCCCTTTCGACCCCTCTACTATACCTTCCTGTGTCTCAGAGTGGAAAGCTAAAACCAAGTGTTCTAGACTCCTTTGCAGCTGTGGTCCTGGGGGCTGGACATGGAGTATGAACCTGGGAAGGTAGCAGTAAGGCAGGGGCCATCTTCCTGCCACCTTCAACTGCCACTGGCACACAAGGTCCTGGAATCACCCCGTGTCTCTGCAGCACCGTTCCAGGGTTTGGCCACGAGCTTTGTGGGCAGCTGTGGTCTCCTGATCCCAGAGCTGCTATCGTGGTGGTATTTTCGGGAAATCTACAGTTCCAAAGGTAGCTGCCTAACCCTCACCTTCCTGCGGGGGGCAGTGGCAGCAGCTCTCCTGGTAGGCAGCTTCAGTGGTGTTATTCCAGGAGTCGCTCCCAGAAGCCCAGCACAAAGCCTCTTTTACCCTTCCAAAGATTTTGAAGGAATCAACTCTTTATGTTCAACTTCTTTCTGCCTCAAATACCTGGTGTGGTCTCTGGTTTCCTGCAGCTGGTCCTGAATGATACAGGGGTTTGGGAGACTCAGCTCTCACCCTTGGGGGACCCCACTGTTAAACAGAGAAGTACCCATCTAACGCTACCTTCTGTTTCCCAGGGCAGCACCAACTCCCTCTTCATAATGAAACATTTTCCCCTTACTACCTCAGGGTTCAGACCCAGTCAAAAAATTGTTGGCAGTCTTAATAAACAAATCCACAAGTTTCCCTTTGCTTGCCGTGCTTGCTGAATTGCTCAAAGAATTTCAATAGATGTGGCAGGCTGTCTCTCCCCGAGTAGGTTACACTTGGCTAGATGTTCATTGACTTGCCCTTTGTGACAATTTGACAGGCTAGCCAGATATGGAAATGATGCTGGTCCGGATTTCCAGGTGACTTGCTCACGAAAGTCAACATTTATGGAGTCATACTGTGAGCAAGGCCTGTGCAACAAGCACCAAGGGAGATGTAACTCTTCCCCCCGGTCTAGTGGAGAGAAATACATAGACAGACCACAATAACTAAGGCTGATCGAGTGTTTACTGGGCACCGCTCCAAATGAATGAACTCACAACAACGCTATGAAGCAAATCACCTTATTTTCCCCATTTTACAGATGAGGAAACTGAGGCCCAGGAACGTTAAGTCACTTTTCTAGAGTCACACACAAAGTGGCATTGCTGGGATCTGAACCCGGGCAGCCTGGCTGCAGGGCCCCTGAAGTTAATCACAACCAGGCAGTGTGCGAGGCTCAAGGAAAGCACTGGGAGAGCAAAACAGAGGTAGGAGTAATTCAGCCTAAGAGAGTCAGGGCAGGCTTCCCCTCCTCTGAGAGAAATCGCTCATCTTCTGGTCAATTTGGCAAACGTGCATTGGACCTGGACTTTGTGCTGGGCCTGGAGGAAGGTGCTGGTGATACAAAGATGAATGAGACCTGCTTTCCTGCCCTTGAAGGGCTTGCAAGCAAGGAGGGGAAGCTGACAGCCAAGAACATTAATTGGGATATTGGAAGATAAGGGGTTCAGAGACAGCACCAGGGGATGGGTCAACTCTGCCGGTGACTTAGGGGAAGAAAAGGCTTCTTCGAGGAGGAGACACACGAGTTCGGCTTTGGACAATGAAGATGGTTTGTCAGGACGCTAGTTTGGGTGGGGTGCGGGAGGTGAGGATTGGGGGAAAGGCAGAAGGCTCCCCAGATGATGGGAACAGCAAGTGCAAAGACAGGAAGGTGGGGAACGTGATGGTGTGTCTGAGGAAGTGGGAGCTCGCTGGGTTGCCGCCGTGCTAGTGGGCGGCAGCCGGGGAGGGGGCTGTGGAGTGCTGAGGAGTTTGCACTTGGCTCTGGGGAAGTGTTTTTCAAAATGAGGCGTGTACCCCATTCGAGGATGGTGAAGTCAGTTTAGTAGGTCAAGGCCAGTATTTTAAAAAATGAAAAGGAAATTGAAATGGAATAGACTAGAATAAAATAGAGAGATGCAATACTTTTCGTATTAAGAGTAAGTACGTCTTGTGAAATGCTGTTTCAGTTTTACATATTGGGGCAGATACCGCAAGTTTTTCAACGATCCATTGTCCTCTTCTTCATTTTAATAATCAGATCCCCAAGGGTTGGCCCGCGGCTGCCCAGCTGGAGACTACGTGTTCCAGCCTTTTCTGCAGTCAGGTGTGGCCATGTCACTAAGTTCCGGCCAACACAGTGCGAACAGTGGTGGTGTGTGCCACTTCTGGGTCACGCTCCTAAAAGGAATGCCATGCACTCCTTTGTGTCTTTCTTTTTTCCCACTGTCTGGGATACAGACATGATGGTAGGAACCGGAGAAGTCCCCTTGGGCCCAGAGTTGGAAGCTGTGTATTGAGGGTGTAAGAGCCTTGAAAAGCACACCCCCAGACTGTGAGAGGGAAGTCAGGTTATGTGAAAGATAACTTCTATTTTATTTAAGGCACACTTACATTTCTGTTACATTATCTCAGACCAATCCCTAATACACAGACGTGTGTGTGTACATATGTATTTATATGTGTGTTCACATACGTATAGTGTTTACACACACTCCCCACCCCCCAGGCCATACTGTAAACTATATTTATTACTATGGATTGTGGTTTAAAAAAAATGGAAAAACTACCTGCCCTTAAAAGATGTTTTAAGCAAGTGAGTAATGTGATTAGATTTCTGTTCCCAGGCTGAAGCGAATCTTAAGGACCGCTTAGCCCAGTCAGTGCTTCTTCTTATGATGGGGAAACTTAGGCCCCTAGAGACTAGGTAACTGATTCAAGGTCCTGGGGCTCAGTGGCAAGAGCTGGTCCTTGAACCCTGATCTCTGAATCCAAGACTGTGTCCCTTCAGTGTCAACAGGTGATGAAGATTCGTTTATCTTGCTCTCTCTTTCAGTCTTCAAACCCTTTTCTACATCCCATTGTTCCCCTAATTTTCTAATTAATTCAGTTCAATTCAGCACATATTTATCGTAAACCTACTACATACTAGGTTGTACAGACATAGGAACGACCTTCGTAAAAGCTCCTTAACTGGTATCATAGATACCGAAGAAAGTATAGAACTGTGTTTATGCTTAGATCGATGTATATACACATATTTCCTAGCTCTGACCCCTGAGAGGGCATAGAAACAATGACACGCCAGGAGCAATTGAGCACATCTAGAACCCAGATTTGGTTTTAAATACCATACATCAATGAAAGAAACGAAGGTTCCTTGGAGAAGTGGTTGATTCTGGGCTGGGGAGGGAATACACGGGGTGAGCCTGGAGCATCTTTTCGCGGCGGGAAGTAGGAAAGTGCTCAGAAAAAGATGAAGAGCTCGTGGGAAAAACAGGAACCAACTTGAAAGTGCTCCTAACGGCCGAA